AAAGAACTTTGCCCAAATATATTCTGTATTCTGCAAATACTTCTCACCATGCCACCCTCAACCTCTACTGCTGAACGCTCTTTCTGCGCTCTGAAACGTGTAAAAACGTATCTGAGATCGACCATGGGACAAGAAAGACTTTCTTCACTTGCACTGCTGCACGTTCATTCTGATTTTGACATTGACACTAAAGAAGTTATTGACACGTTTAACAATACTAGGCAAATGAAAATGTTACTCTCCTAAAGGACCTCGGTTGTTAACAGTCTTACATACGGTCTTACATACGAACGTCACATTCATATATGATCACCAAATTAAAAATTGATTGTTTGAATTGCTTTGTTTTCGTATGTTAACATATATGTCATGAGAGGATCCAGTTCTCTAGCCCTTTCTTTCTTTGAAGCATAATAAATTGGCGAGCATTGCAAAGTTTTTAGAATTTTTTAGTCAGTTTTAGGTCTTTGATTTGATATACTAGTATAGAAAAACACTCAACTGTGCATACTTCACTTCAAAATTAAACATTTTAGATCGAAAAAAGATTCATTTTCTGTAAAAAAGGTCCAAAATTTTTTTTTCGCCTCGCTCCGCTCGGCGAAATTTTTTGGCCTCCCTACGCTCGCCAACTTCTGCGTGCAGATCATTATAAGTCTAGCTACGCCACTGAAACTCATCAATTTTACCAAAAAGATTATAACTTCTCATACATTACAACATAACAACATTATTGGAAATGTATTATCCATACAATATATTAAAGTATTAGATCATATGCGTACAGTCTCGATCATATGAGTCCAAAAAAGTATCAACGTAAATTCAAAAAGAGTAAGTCCACAAAAACTGACAAAATCAAACGTAAGACTTTATCAACCAACGCAACGAATGGAAAACAACTGTCATATTTCTGACTTGGTATAGGCATTTTCCGAAGAAAATGTTGGGTTAAACGTGGTTTTAATATTGGATGAGCAACCAAAACGTACATGATAGGTTAATGTGACAATAATTGGGATCCAGCAGCCAAAACTATATATACATACATCAAAGACATACAACACAGATGACTAAAAAATTCAAACAAGCATACAAATAAAACTATATATATATATATATCAATGATTTACCACTGAACATAGAAAATTCATTAATAGATTTATATGCAGATGATTCTACATTACATAGTAAAGGTAATAATGTACTTCAGTTAACTGCTAACCTTCAAAATGATATTCATGTAATTGAAAACTGGTTTTCGCAAAATTGTATGAAACTAAATGCCAAAAAGTGTAAATCAATGATTATTGGTTCAAAACAGAGGCTTTATTCAACTGGGAACAGTTTAGATATCAAAATTTCAGATGAACAAATAGAGAATGTAGATTGTGAAAAACTTCTCGGTTTATATATCGACAAAAAACTAAATTAGAATGAGCAAATAGATAAAATGTCATGTACAATATCAAATAGAATCAATTTATTACAAAAGATAAGAAAATATTTACCTATGCATATACGTATTATTTATTTTAATGCTTATATTCTGCCATTGTTTGATTATTGTTGCAATATATGGGGAAGTTGCTATGAAAGTGGAATAAATAAACTTAATAAGTTATTAAAGAAATCTGCTAGGGTTATAGTAGAAGCTGACATAAAGACATCATCCAGTTTGTTGTTTAATAGTTTAAACTGGTTAAATGTGGAAAAACGCATTCAATATCAAAAGGCAATACTTGCATTTAAATCGTTAAATGATATGGTTCCTATTTACAAGAAAACTTTCATTTTATTGGTAATCAGAATTATAATTTACGTTCGGCTGATGAAAAACTATTAAATCTTCCCAAACCAAAAACAAACCTTTTAAAGAAAACATTTACATATTCAGGTTCTCAAATATGGAACAGTTTACCAAATGAAATAAAAATGAGTAATACACTTGTATCTTTTAAAACAAATTGTTACAAATTTTTCATCAATTGTGCAAATTAATATGCTTTTTCATTATTATCTAGATACAATTGTATATTGTGTATAATATATCATTATAATATTGTATGTACTTATAGATATGTTATTATTATTTTGAGGACTCTCAGGAAGATTAGTTTTAACTAATGAGATTATCCTCTTGAAATAAAGATAATTTATTTATTTATTTATTTATTTAAAACTCATTTTTAAAAGTTATTGCAGATGATAGTAGATTTGACAAAGACGCCAACAAAAAAGTTTGTGTAGTTGATAGTACCGTGGCCGTCTTGTCACTTTTCACTAGGGGTATAACTGTAACTGTAACTGTGCATTCAAATAAAGAAGTATACTTACTGAAAATTAATACCGAAATATAATAAAGTTTATACGCACATACTACTAATTGTTCATAAAAAATTGGTCTCCCAGGCTCATAAATTCTTTAACATTTCTAATCTATATACAGGGAGTAACTTCTTGAATAAGACGCAAGTCATAAGGAATGCTTAGTTTGCTCTCAGTAACTTATTTTTTCTGTGGATACAACCTTTTATAAAGATGACAAAATATTACAAATACCCCTTCCCAAACACATATCAAGCTATACACTAAATCCATACAACATATTGTAAATAAATTGTTATACAAAACGTGTAGTACCAGAGACATGTATACATGTACTTAAAAGTTTTAGTGACTACCTCGATACATACTATACAAGTATCGGACTTATATATGACTATTGAACCCCTCCCGTATAGCGCCAAAGAAATATCCGTGCAGTTTTAAAAACATTACTTATAAATTAAAATACTAACCAAACTGGTTCTACAAGATGTTTGATTATTGAAATAGAAAAGGGAAATTCGTAATGTAGCGGAATAGAAATTAAAAGAAAAAAATAAATGTAGATCGCGTAGTTATTCAATGCGCACTTGTAAAGGATTATTTTGTATGCTTAAAACTTAAAAACTTTAAAAATCATGACAGTTTTTGTGTTTGCTAAATTTCAGAAAATATAGTAGATCTATTTTGTTTCTTAAATAAAGACGCTTCTATCCATTTGTTATGACATTCTTCGCAGGTGGTATGATTTTAATCAAGTCTTAAATACTTTGTAATATGAGGGTGAACAATATATTTCGTTAAGCTAAATTAAATAGTTCCAAAATAATACCTAGCTATCAGCTGATCTGAATATTGACCCAAATATTGACCTATAAATAAACAGGTTAAACCTTACCTGCTAGGTCGTAGAATTTTTCTGTTTTCAAGGTAGCAGCAACAGCCCAGCATGCCCATTGGATTCCAAAATCAACAGCTGCAGCTTTTACTAAATTGCTTTTTGCCAAATTGCTACCCATCTCGAATATCATAGTCCAAGTTACATAAACAATCTGCTTCCGGGAAAACAAGAGAATGATAAAAGGAAACAGTCACGGTATCGATCAGGAAAAACTACGGCTTAAAATGAGAGAAAAAAAAACAGTAAAAAAGAAAACAGGTAAGTATACAGATTATATGGGCATCAAACTGGTTTAGGATAAATTCCTTATTCGACTTTCCAATTTCAAACCAAGGACTGATATACTAAAATATACGTGCTTGATCAAACCCATTCCTGCATTATTTCACATGATCACTTTTGGTTATGTATAAAGTGACCTCCTTCTTTAAACCGACAGCATTTCCTACGATTGAAAAAAGTTGACATGATAGCATGGACCGGGTGATCAAAATTATATGACAAGTTACAGAGTGATAAAGTAAGTCAAAGAAGGACAGATAAAATTATAATTGGAGCATGAGATTACAGACACGAGACGTTTTACTAAATATAGTCCATTAAAATTCAAGTTACAGAATTTGTATAGTTAGTCTAGTTATAAATCCTTGAGCAGAATCATAAGATCCGCCACTTAAAACACTCAAGTCAGATTTCCTTCTTTCATGAATGAACAGTAAGGGGACGCCCCCTAGATATTCAAGTTATATATGGTTTGCTACTGACCTCATACGGATCCATAGATGGTGAGTAAATTCCATAGGGGATGAGTCCTCACCTTCGCCTACATCACCCTGCTAAGTCGTTCCGTAATTCTCGTATCACTGCTTTGAGACGTGAGCAGGTATGTATCAGCGACATTACAATGTCCGAGAAGTTAAAATGGGGGTTGAGATATAAAAACTTAGTTAAACCCCGCAACATCGTCATGTATCTGTCCGAAGTCAAGAACATCGTCAGTAAAATGCTTTTGTGTTAAATCTTAACTATTTTATTTTGGCGTGTAGTTTGATTGGAGATTATATGCAGAAAATGACAACAAACTTCTGAAGGAAACTCTGTCGGCACTTTCGCTGTTTCAAAACCACTGGCAGCACTTCATCAAATTTTGGGAAAATATTATTTTCTTTTCAAAAATGTATTCAATGAACATCTGATGTTAAATTCATTGGTATGCAAATTAATGTTGTGTCTATGTTTAATTTCAAAATCTGCAGTATTCGATTTTAATAGTTTCTCCTTTACTAAATGAAAGTCTAATTGATATTCCTTTAGCCCTACATATTCAAAAAGATTTATCTATAATATACCAACAAAATATAATGGTTATTTATTTTTTCCACAAATGCAAATACATGTACGCAATTATAATTTCGGATAATAAATCCGCAATTTATGATTTTACCATATTCCTGACTTGGTACAGGCATTTCCTTATGTAGGAAATGGTGGATTACACATGGTTTTATAGCTAGCTAAACCTCTCACTTGTACTGCAATTACAAGATATTTCAAATTAATTTCTGGAATTGGTCCCTAAAATGAAAACTTGACCAAATGATCGAAGAGATTGTAATCTTGGAAGCCATATGAATGCGGTCAACCTAACCTTTTTCATATCATATTTTAACACTGATTACATTATGTGACATATTATCTTATGATATATTTATTTGTATAGCCACATGAATATATGATCAATGTACTCACGTGCTTTGAGACTTCATACAAAATGAAAAGAACAGTTATAATTTATGTGTATTTTAGTTTCTTAATTTGGAACTCAGTGCAAAGTAAAGACTCATGTAAAAAGACATCGTCATGTTCATGTAAATTTTCAAATGGAGCAGCTATTAATCTTATCCAGCTTTCAAATACTGACCAAACACCGAGGTAAGATGTGTTTTGACTAACCCGATCATAGCAAGTCATTGGTATCATTCTTAGGAAAAGACTTATAAACATAATGAAAAGAAAAAAGGCATTTTAATTTTTGGATAACCAGCCTTCTCAGATCATTAATATAATTTAACACAAATATACTAACAGTCATTACAAAAATTAATCTAAAACATGTTTTGGACAGCATTTTGTCTAAATCAAACCACAATGGAAAATCATGACGTTTCTTTGTGTTTATACAGTATCAAACATGGGTATTGTTAACACTAGAAGTGAGTACATGTACTACATTCAATTCTGATAAAAAGCTAATCGAGTGTCGATAATAGTTCTATTTTAATCTAGACATATGACATTTGTTAAAATATGACATAGACATTTTATTTAGTACACTTACAGCACCCAATTGAAACTATTACATTTCAGCCTTAAAAGCCTTACAAAGGAACCTTTTAATTTGATTTTATGAATAAAAATATATATACAATCAGAGACATATATACACATGTGTATATATGTCTCTGATACAATATATGTATATTGTCGGAAAATGTGAAATTTATTTAGCGTTAGAAATCAGACGAAATGCGATGCTCGCCGAGCTTTCCCCCTGTTTTGTAGCGAGTACAACTAAATTTTATATTTTCGACAATGTACATTTATTGTTTTATCCTGCAATTCTTATTACTTATAGGCTTAGCAGGGGCGGATCCAGGATTTTAGGTTAAATTTTTTTGAGGTAAATTATCAAAATATTCTTTATTAAGCTGAGGACAACCCTTGCTTTGAATCCGCCCCTACTTAGTTGTTTAAATCCAAATATTTGTTTCTGATTTCTCAAAGAAATCGACATAGTTTAAACGCAGACCGCGGAGAGGACCCCAAAATGAACTGTCATACAAAAAGAAATATTCACATTACTGTTTGCTTAACATAGAAGTTGAGTAACAGGAGACTTTATTTGCACAAGACTTTAAGTACAAATAATTACATTACATGCATATGTTTCATTATAATACGTTATTTTGATTGGCTAACAGCAATCTCGCGTCATTCTGAAATCAAGCTTCATTTCAAAATGAAATGTAACATTCATAATCACACGAGCATCCACAATAAAGTGCACAGGTAAATAAAACAACACCAGAGGGTGTGTCATAATGTATGTACAACTTCCTACATCAAAGGTCAAGGTCAAAAACTTTGGTTTCAGTTAACAACCCCATGTCCTATGCTAAAGATTGTGTCCGCTCTATATCTTGAGAACCGTTATGATTTCAAAGTTTATACTTGACATGTATATTAACCAACTCCAGAGGGTGTGTAATAATGTATGTACAACTTCTTAGGTCAAAGGCCAAGGTCAAAAACTTTGGTTTCAGTTGACAACCCCATGTCCTATGGTAAAGATCGTGTCCGCTCTATATCTTGAGAACCGTTATGATTTCAAAGTTTATACTTGACATGTATATTAACCCCATGTCCTATGGTAAAGATACAATTTTTTTACCACACGTTATTCACAGCGGGGCTCACAGAGATGGCTCCCATCTCAATGATATCTAGTTTGAACACTAGTTGGTCAATTGTAGGATAAATTTAATATAAAATCAGAAGTCAATAAATACATGAATAATAATAATGATAATAATAAAATACAAATACAAATATTAAAAACAAATTATGAGATTTAACAGACCGTGTATATTTACGCCAAACATATTTTATCCTGGTTTTCGAAATAGAAAATTTAGAATTGCTCATCAGTTTTAAGTTTTCGTATATGTTGAAAAAAAAATAACAATTGAAAATACTAAAGTTTTCTTATATCAATATTAACTGGAAGATTAAACAATCGAATTCGGAGCAGTTATATTTATTTTTATGGCTTGAGATTTCGAAGAGAAGTAAAATGGTTCTTGTTATAGACCAATTCCATTTCTTAACATTGATAAAAAAAATAAAAAAAGAACATTGAAAATTTTCCAGAACATAGTTTTTTTCTATAGAAAATACAAATACAAACAATGCACATTTATACGGCTTTTTCCGTTATTCTTTAAAGAAAGTAAAATTCAAATAAATTCCTCACCTTTATAACATTTTATTTTGTTTCATAAATTGAAACTTACTGTGCTAAACTTCGCATTAACTGCTTTAATTTTTTCAACTAAAAAAATAAGAAGATTCACGAGTACAGCAGTTTGTAAATTTCTCGATAAAAAGAGAAAATGTTACATTACTTTTCGTTCTTCATTATAACCCTGAGGGAGCAGTTTTTGTGCAAGGTGCACATCCCTGTTAATGAAGTCTATATTATGTGAACATGCACAAGCTTAATGTATCAATTGAGTTATGTAAACGCTATACGATAGGAAATATGGTATGTTCCTGCTGGGAATTACCATGGGAAGTTGACAATTGGAAACTTAAGATGAAATCATCACGCTTGACAAAGATTCTAATTTGAAGTTTTTCATCTATGTCAATATCAAGGAAAAGATCAAGATATTAAGCAGAACTTGTAGTTTCGGTAGTATCCGTATTTTCAAGTTCAGTGATATTTGAGATGCAATCACTCACTGAAATAAAGGTTATTGAGTGAATACATGCTGCTTCATATGAGTACAAAAAAACCTAGTCGACCGGAAGGGGTGAACGATTACTACCCATTGAAATGCCGACTGTCTGTTGAAGTATCAATCCAACAAACTTTATGAGCGTGAACCAGGAGGGGTTCACACAATAACTGGAAGGTGTTATTAATAGGTTCATATTTGCCCGCTAGGTTCATTTGTCGGGAAATATGGAATTTAAATAAATCTAATGGTATTATTATACTTTTAATATCATCAGTTATTTACTCTAATTCTATTATCTAGGAAATAATTCTCTACGCTCATTTTAACATGTATAGGGTATGTTTGCCAATATCTTTCTACCTAGCGTAAGGGAGGTGTTAAATGTTGACAAATATAATGCCTACCCTTATTAAAATAAGCATAGAGCATGGCATTATAAAATTATTTCGATTCTAAGTGAAAAATTCAGAACTTTTGAATTTCGAAGCAGACACAATTATTTCCTGCATTTTGCGTTGCAGAATAGCAATTTTCATCCTGTCTTTGGCAAGATTATTTATTTTCAGTTCTTACAAGGCCAGGATATTTATTTTTTAAAATCCTCATGTCCTTCAACCCAACCCCCCAAAAAAATGAAATGGTTGTTCCCTTACAAATTCGCTAAGTCACAAAAAATAAGATTGTTATTTTTTTCAGATTTGAAGACCAACCAGATCCAGATTCAAATGCTGATATGTATTCTTGGAATCCCTGCCAACCTTTCAATGAAGGGGACTGTCAGAGCGTGGCTGTAAGTTTTGAACGCAAAATTGAACTTCTTCAAGGCATGATAGTGCAACTCAACTAACGACAAACGAAATAACCATTGAGAATTCTTTGCATAAATTTCGTGACAACTCATAGTTTTTTTTACCATATCAAATTGGTAAATATATTTTGTCTCACAATAAATCTATATCAAATTTTCACCCTTATACATGCCAATTTTCGACCAATGTTAAACATCTTGTATTGCTATCTTGGCTATGGTACGTTCCGAAAGTCACCTACTACGAAAATAACACTCTGGTTTTCTGAAAATCTTTTTCATAATCGAACTTCATCGTCAGGGAGCAAGCAGACCTGAAGCAAAAATATCTCAAAGTACATCGCTTTTTGACTGATATTTTGTTGAGCATTTTACAGAGCTTTCGATATAACAATGCTTATATTTGTATAATTTAGGTATCCAGTTAAGTGGAGGAATCGTATTTTCTTCTTTCGGTTCTTTGTTTTATATTCACAAAAGGGACTTAAAACAGACTTATGATCGTCAAAGAATTCTTTTTTGTAAGTGTCTGTGGGGTATATTTTTTTATGTGTGCCTGATGAGAAAACAAAAATATTTGTGAAAGAGACAAAACTGGTGTCTAGCAACATTTGAGTCTTTGAGAATAGATGCAGAATGAGTCAATTTAGACCTATTAGACAGTCGAAGGAGGCGGTGGGAAAGGTCTACCTTATAAACAGTCGTAAATACATATAATCGATACTTTACAGAGGATAAAATCAATGTGACTTGATGTTACGTTAGATGGGACATATTCACCCTGCAGTCAGTATCACCTAACCACTCCGAGACATTGTTAGTCAGTCAATGTCATTTTTCTTTGACTCCTATGACGAAGTTACAGTTTTGGGATTTATTTGTTTTCTAATCAACTAAACATGATAATTTCACAGTACAATGAATGGAAAAAAGATTGTGTATCAATTCATGATTCAAAACTGCTTCAAGCACTTGATAAAACAAAAGGTAATGGTACAGAAAGTATGAGGATGTAATGAGCTATATGTCTGTATGTTGTTTGTCATATGCTTTAACTTTTTTCCCCTTCAGTAGTCGGATAATTTATATTCTTGGGAGGTCTTGGAATGATGGCTTTCTCTAAGTTTGCATTTCAGGTAAAAAAATAATTGAGTTTTTGGATTCTTAGTGTAAAGAACAAGTCCGTCTGATATTGGTATTAGTTTTTATAAGTCGCAAAGCAATGATACAGGAAAGGACAATACTATATTCGATATGAATAAAAGGAGAATATGATCATGGGAGAGCATCTTAATGTCACAATCGGTAAAATAACAGACGACTGGTATCAAGAGATCTAAGACCGTGAACACACATCACTAGTGAATTGACACAACAACACATCATATCGGCCAACAAGTTTTTGATGGTGTCCGTAAAACAAATGTAGTGTCGATTCCTGTCGTTCTACCTTATAATTATTGTATAAACGATTTTTTTATTTTCAGGTTTGTAATGTGCATAATAATATACCTAATGCGTCATATTTTCCACTTGGCGATCAGGATTCAGCTGTGTTCAGCACTTCAGGAAAAGTAACTAAATTAACATATATTTACACAGGAACGGGTGGTGCTCAAAGGTAAGCATATTAGTACTAAAAGAAGGGGAAATGTAATATAAATAAATCCTTTAGACATATTATACGCACAGCACAATAGCGGAACACTGAGCATTAATTAACACTAAACTGTTTTTAATAATGCATACAATAAATATAGTGTTGCAACTTAAACATCTACTTTGAGAAAAGACAAATGTATATAACGATCATTATTGTTTTATATTGAGACTGTACAGGGTTTTAAAACTTTCCAACGTGTTGATAAGCATTTTCTTGTCATATAAAAAACTCAGAGTGATAAACGTCAACGAGGCTTCAATCAACAACAATAAGCCTGCAGAGACATCTAGAGGTCAGCATACGGGTTTTGAAAATAAAGTGTCGATACAACATTTCAGTGTCTAAAATTCGTCTTAAAGGCTCAACTGTAGATTGAACAAAATGTTTTTATTAATTCTTATCCTAGATATAAAAATCAACTATAACGAATTCCAGAATTTTTTAAACAGTAATTTAAAGCATTATTTATAGTTCCTGGCCGTGTTTGGACGATTTGACTTTGAAAATATAGTAAAAGACGTGTTATATAGAGTACTGTTTATATTCCTTTATTTTGTTTAGATCAGCTGAAATCACATTGACTTGTGATAAAAATCAAGAAGGTTTTCTTGATGTTAAGGGAGAAATTCCACTAGGAAGCGGTGAATATGTTAGTTTAATATACCATATTAATCTATGTTACATGTATGTTTGGTAATCTAAATACATTTCTTATAAACAAAAGGAGATGTGGGGTATACTTTCGTCCACGTGCACCTGATCGCCAAACTAATACCACAATGTCAAAATCGTCCACGTGCACCTGATCGCCAAACTAATACCACAATGTCAAAATCGTCCACGTGCACCTGATCGCCAAACTAATACCACAATGTCAAAATCGTCCACGTGCAACTGATCGTCAAACTAATACCACAATGTCAAAATCGTCCACGTGCACCTGATCGCCAAACTAATACCACAATGCCAAAATCGTCCACGTGCACCTGATCGCCAAACTAATACCACAATGTCAAAATCGTCCACGTGCACCTGATCGCCAAACTAATACCACAATGTCAAAATCGTCCACGTGCACCTGATCGCCAAACTAATACAACAATGTCAAAATCGTCCACGTGCACCTGATCGCCAAACTAATACCACAATGTCAAAATCGTCCACGTGCACCTGATCGCCAAACTAATACCACAATGCCAAAATCGTCCACGTGCACCTGATCGCCAAACTAATACCACAATGTCAAAATCGTCCACGTGCACCTGATCGCCAAACTAATACCACAATGTCAAAATCGTCCACGTGCACCTGATCGCCAAACTAATACTACAATGCCAAAATCGTCCACGTGCACCTGATCGCCAAACTAATACCACAATGTCAAAATCGTCCACGTGCACCTGATCGCCAAACTAATACCACAATGCCAAAATCGTCCACGTGCACCTGATTGCCAAACTAATACCACAATGCCAAAATCAGTAAAAAGACAAGGGACAATCGTCAAGCTTTAGTCGAATGACAGTCAACACCGCGACATAAAAATTGACTAAAGGACTAACTAAAAATTTAAAGCTTGGGGAATCTCCACAAAAACCTCGGTGAACTCGATGTAAGTGCAAACTAATTTAATAACTTAAGATTATCTCTACATAGCAAACGGATTTTCAAAATAATTCATTGAGTACATTAAACACTATCCTTGAATCAAATATGAACTAGAACAATTCAAATATGCACAGTTGCTAGGTACTTTTGGATTTTAAAAAGTGAACATAATTCTCCATCCTGAAAATATGAGTATAGCGTTTATTTTGTTTTTCATCGTAAGGTGGTACACACCGTCTTGCCCTCTTTAAATTAACCGCGCTTTACATATATGAGATTAAAAAAAAGAACTTTTAACTCATATAAAAATATAATTTTTTAAAGTATTAATCCTATATTTGAAATTTTGTTTGTAGTTTTTTGAGTTGCAGACTAAATATGCATGTGTTGACTTAGGTGGAATATCAATAGGAACAATAATTCTCATAGTGTAAGTATAAGATGATCCTAGTCATAATTATATCAAGAGTGCTAAGGGGGCGACCATTTGATTTTCTGGGGGAGTGGGGCAAGATGATTTTGAAAATACGGAAAATTGATCAAATGTTTAATTACAATTACCGGTCACATTAATAAAATTTACCAAACTTACTTCGATATGACTGAAATGAGAAGCGACAGCAACAATTTAAAGCTCTAAAAGTCAACCCGATCTTGAACAATCGATAATTGTCAGTATAATTTGACAATCCCTACATAGTTCCGATTCAATGAAGCAACGTCAAAGTTCAAACATCAACACTAGTTTCCCCCAAAAAACTAAATACATTAAGATAACCACTGACAATGTGTTTTCAAAATCAACAAACACATGGTTTCCTTTCAACTCATTATTGTTGTAGACAAGTCCTTCTTAAATGTTGAAGTTGAAGTAATTGAGAAACTAAGGTTCCAACTAACTCGGGTAAAGATGACCCAAGTTAGATTTGGTTATTCTCTACATATAGCTCCTCAAGAATTCAAATATCTTATAAATTTATTGCTTTCACATTTTTGGGTAAACACAGAATAGCGCCTATGAACCACCGAAATTATAAAATGTTATTTTTATTTTTTACCCTCTACACTCACTTTGCAATATAAAACGCACGAATTGAGAATTTTAAATCGTTACTAATATTAATTTTGTAATTTTATACTGATAATATTAGCTTGTTTTCAGATTTTTATGTTTTATTGTTACATACCTGATATTAGGAATGACAATTCAAACTTTTGTAAGGAAAGCATCAGGAAAACAAAGAATACCAAATTATTCATTGTGGTCAGCAGTTCCAGGATTAGTTAAGGCAAGTATCATATATAAATATATAGATACCCATGCAAACATACATCTAGCTAGCACACTGTCTTCTAGGATTTGATAATAACTCCCCCTATTATAGGATTAAACACAGATTTGGGGTTTAACGTCGAGACAGATACATGGGTATGGGGTGAAATTTAACTAGCTAAGTCTGCGTTTGGGTGCAGTTTCGCTATCAAATTCTACGTCTCGTTTTTTTCAAAGGTTATATGTAATGATACTTTTATATGAATTTTGGATATTTCAACGTATTTTTCTAGTTTTGTCGATTTATATTCCAACAGACAGTCGGTATTCTAATGGTTAAATGCTTAATAATTATGCATTCTTACTGGCCTATTAAAAAAAAAGTTTGTACTATGAAACAGAATTCACACAGAACCTTCTCAAAGACAAACAAAAAAAGCATCTTGCAAAGTTCTGTAATTTCATTTTCGATATCTTGATGATGTTCTGTCACTCAATAATCCACATTTCAGTGAGTGCTTGCATCTCATAAATGCCAGTGAACTCGAGATAAAGGAGACTCCCGAACTAAAAGATCTGCATCCTTTATTGATACTATTCCTTGATATTGACACAGATAGACGATTTAAAACTAGAATACATGAAAAACGTGATGATTTCAACTTTCCAAATTGTCAGCTTTCCATTTATAAGCAGTAACATACCCTCTGTCCCATCTATGGCGTTTACTAATCTCAATTAAAACGCTACGCTCGATCGTGTATGTTCCCACTTTATGGGCTTTACTACCAGTGTTGTGCTCCTTACACAAAAAACTGTTTCAGCAAAGTTATGAGGTAGAACGACTGAAATCGACACTTACACAAGTTTTCATCATCAATAATTGGTTCACCGAAACTATGTGTCTGTCTCTGAATTCACTGGCGACACGTTTGCCGTCTTATATCCTTAGATAGCAGAATAGCCGTTTTTTCTGTAATCTCACCAATTACTTATTTTGTCCTATTCCCGATTATAACATTTTCCTCAGTGTGGCTTCGCATGGCGGGTGATACATATGTTGATGCACCTGGTATCGGAGTTCATGCGAATTCCTCAGTTTTTGTGTGTTATCTTGAGTTGTATCTTCTTAGTCGATTGATAGATATTTGAACATCTGTAAACTATGGAAGCCGGGAGCGACCAATTTTGCGTTTTCGCGTTGTCGCCTCTGTATTTGCAAAGGTAAAATCGCATAAACGCGAATTCAATTCGCGATTTCGCGTTTTCACTTTTGCGTTTTCGCAATTTTACCAGGATCTCATCAAATTGTTAATCACTATCCAATCATATTGAAGATACGAAATGATTCACAGCAGTGAGCAGTGATTGACTAACGTAAGCGCGAAATGAATTTGATTTCGCGTTTTTGCTTTCGCAATTTCTCGATTTTGCGTTTTTGCCTTTGAAAATGCGCAATTGACCGTATCCGGCTTCCATATTGAACTACTAATGCATAAATTCATGATACAAGTATGATACTATTTTCACTTGTGCATCCAGATGAATTATTGGCGATTGTTTCACTTTACTTGCATGTTTACAAGTAGTAAAATTGTAGACATGTATCCACTGTCAAAAATGTATTTACTTACATTCATTAAAGAAAACCTGATGTTAAAATGTTATATAACCTATTTCCGTCTTTACAGTTTTTCTATATACGCGTTTAAATTTTATATTTCAGGATGGTACAGTGTTTGTTGTCACACGCGGGAAAAGAACGTCATACTCGAACATTTAACGTAGCCAACATCATGATATGCAAACTTTTACATAAGTCATTGTGTCTTTTTTACCTGAATACTAAACAGCTTTTAAAGCTTTACATTTTAATTGTTGATACCAAGTTTCAAAGAGTTGTCATATACAAGAATTCAATAATAAGGTCCGTGGTAGTCCGTCTTATGTTCTTTCTTCTGCATGTGAAAGGTGTTGTGATTGAGTATCTTGTTGAGATCCCCTTTGCTGCAATCTTTGTCATTTATGTCTGGAATTTTTAACTTCAATAAAAAGACTTTTTTTCTCTGATTTGGTGTAATACGATTTGTAAAATATGTTCGTTGTTGTTTTATTTTAATTGAATATGTTACAAGAAGATTGCATCAAGTCCTATTTTTGTCTTTTTACAAACGAGGTTCCTCTCAATGATTTTCTCTCACTTGGTGGTAATATTCCATTGGATGCTTTATGTAGTCTTTACAGTTATCGTTTGGCGGCAAAACGGGAATAATTATTTTTCAGAATTTTTTGTTAATAGTAACGGACAAATTCCGGATTGTTATACTTGTTCAGCACAATGAGTTGGTTTATCAATGGCTTTGAGTACGTACATACAGTTGTGACAAGGACTGATTATAAAATGGAAAAAGTAGTGTTTAAATTCAGTGAAAATTTTTAATTTAATACATATCACCGTGTTAAGCTTTGCCTCTAAAATTCATCTTTCAAGATGACATGCATTTTATAAACACAAGGTAACTTGATTAAACATAGCTTAAAAGTTTATGGAAAATGTTGTGAAACATGGGAATTTTCTTTGATTTTTCATTTTGTGCGTTCCCGTGCAACAGCTTTAATCTTTAAACCGATGTTTTTCCTATGTCTATAATGAGATGAATATCAAGAGTTGCCTCTCGTACTGTACACAATGGATTTGATTATTTCAAGACCGAGTAACTTTCAGTATAGTCTCCCATTAAGAACAGTTTGTGTGGTGGTCCAATTTTTTTGTAAGCTATAATTTCATCGGATAACAGTAAAATAACCGAAAATAAAGTATATTCCACCCAATCATAGAATTACAAAACTGTTTATGCCAAAACAATGACTGAAATACAAAAAAATAGATGATACTTGGCTACACAAGTGTCTTTAATAATATGTATTTTTTCTCTTCAAACTTTTGGTATCGAACGAGAAGCATAACTGATTTTAAGATACCAACCAGATGAATTAAAAATCGGCAACATACATTAAAACTAAACATTTTCAAGCCGCTCCAAACCGATTAAAACACAGTTAAGACGGAGAGATGGTAGGCGGCGGAAGGACGAACGGAATGGCAAGGATAACGACATAATCTATAAATAGGTAGCACATACATTTCTATCTGGTGCGATTTGTCGAATGACGATTGTCCATTGGTTCATCCATAACTGCTAGGAAATTTAATTCAATTATTTGGAATATGTATAATTAGGATGGTAAGGACAATACAAATTTCTTTATAAAGTTAGAGCTTTTTTGTCAGTTTCAATAAAATCTAAATAGATTTGACATAAAACAAAACAATAATCTTCTTTACGAGGAAGACATTTTGTGAAAAGAGTAAGCGTATTGCTGCTCTACACGTATGCCGTACTATATTTGAAGATATCTTAAAGCATCATTATTTCTTAAGTATGTACAAAAACAATGAAGTCTAGATTGCTTGTTTGCTAGATGGACCATGAAATCAGTCTTTACCTTTGTTTACCTCTGTTCTCTTTGCTCCGTTTCTGTTTTTTGTTTTAGCTTTTTAAGGTAACTTTATGTTTAGGGTTCTTATATTTTGGCAAAGGATATCACTGAAAAGGTTTATTCGTCGTAATATTCATTAAATTTGCTATATATAGTATGTTGATAAAGGTTTTGATATGAAAATAATAATCTTACTGTTAGAGATCGAAAGTGTTTCATAGAAGCCTAGGATCAAATAAATACACAAAATTAAAAATGCATTTGTTTCACGTTTTTCATGTCGGGGCCTTTTACATGTATAGCCGACTATAACATATTGGATTTTCCTCATTGTTGAAGTGTTGTGACCTATTAAACATGCTTACACCAGGAGTCAAAGATTTGTCAGTCTTTTGCACATCGAAATTGTAACAAGAATAAGATAAATTATGTTACTGTGTAATGTTCAATTGAAATATTACGTGCATATAAGGACGAGAACATATTGATTGGATATTAAAATTAATCCTGCTTTTCAACAGATCGAACTAGTCCTATTACATATGACCTCAGGCGAAATAAGCCCGTTATTATTTGTTTTCTGGTATATTCTTTTTATTTGTTTTACTATTTTCTGTCCAATGAATTAAAATGTTAGCACGAAAATGTTAAAATATATGACTAGTTTTTGTGTGAGTGCTTGTTCACTAAGTGACTGTCCTAATGTAACACTACACAGACTTATTTTTCTGACAAATCTACTCTTACTCCAAAATCTTGCGAAGAAGCCGAAAATTCCAATTTTCTATTGTAGAAGACAATGAAATAACCATACAGATAAACTTTCAGGATGATATCCCAAGTTTTATAAATTAAATGCCTTCAATTTTGACGGTTAAAGTATCTTTTCTCTGGCAGAGCAACTCCGAGATATTCAAAATCTAAAGGGAGTTCACCCATCCATGTTTGAAGAACATACTTTATTTATTGACGATTAACACACCCCTATCCTTCGATTGAAGACTTTTGTATAGTTTTTATCTTTTATTGTAATATTCTATAAAACTATAACAGTCTGCCAATGTAATGAAAGTAATGTTCTACTGACATAAACAACACATTCTGATGAACACGCCATATGCTGGGGTTTAGCAGGTCTGGCTTCTGTTTATATATCTCGAACTTAATCATCATCTAAAATAAAGACGTACATAAAATATACCAAGTGCTAAGTTAGCATAAAAGGAAGACGACTACATTGAATAAAACATAATGTATTAAATGTTTTTCAAATAATCTAATAACATAATCTTTGAAGAAAAATAGGTTGATATTCATAAAAAAGAATATTGGACTGAAAAACAAAGCAGGTTGCAATGATATTTAATAACAGTAATCATCATCATAATAATTATATCTTTTGTCACGTGTGGGCATTTTTGAGCTTACTATATGGTATGGGTTTTTACTCATTGTCGAAGGCCGTATGACGACAAATAGTCACTTACATCCACGTCCTTTGATCTTGGGTGGACATTTGTCTTATTGGCACTCATACTTCATCTCCATATTTTTAATATAAAAATGTCATTTTGTTTGTTTACAACGTTATAACTTAAATCTATTTTATGGAGTCAATCAATTTTCAATGTACATTTGAGGTTTCCAGTATAGTTTTGAAGATGTTCTGTGATTGTATGTTTTCAATGTACATTTGAGGTTTCCAGTATAGTTTTGAAGGTGTTCTGTGATTGTATGTTTTCAATGTACATTTGAGGTTTCCAGTATAGTTTTGAAGATGTTCTCTGATTGTATGTTTTCAATGTACATTTGAGGTTTCCAGTATAGTTTTGAAGGTGTTCTGTGATTGTATGTTTTTAATGTACATTTGAGGTTTCCAGTATAGTTTTGAAGGTGTTCTGTGATTATATGTTTGTAATTTCTCTGATTATAACGTCCTTTTTCGAGTAACGAATTATATAATGTTCCACATGCCTTCACAAGTTTAAATGCAATTCATTGACAATTCAATGAGCCCATATATCCTTCAAATATATAATATATTATGTATGGTACAAACGGAAGTCAACGAGTATCATTTAAGAAAGTATTGTCGATATAGATTTACAAACTCTTATTCAAATGCAATTTATTTGCTTATATTTCTAAATTACGATATATGCACAGGCACTTGTCGCTGAACAAAAATTACCGATATACTTTAATATAACCCGTACATGTAATTTGTTTTCAGAGACAAGTGCCTGTGGATATATGCTCTGTTATCTGATGATAACAACATAGTTTTTTTTTTATAAAAACAGAACAATATTTCATATTTAAAAAAAGGGAGTTTTATTTAGTGAGGATATAATTCAGACCTTTAATTTTATTCATTTTGTTATGAAGCAAGTAAACGCGTATGGTGGCCTTTTTTTTTTATTACCACTACAATATTAATTTCAAATCAACGTTAGAGATTGCCTTGACTTTGATGCAAAGTATGAGTTGATCGTTTTGATCATTGCTGAAGATTAAGGAGTTATCAAGATGAAGATTTGCCATAAAAACATTTTAAGAGACTATGAAGTGTGTAACCAATAAATTGTTATCATGCTGGACATGCTGCTTACTACTAAATGGATATCACCGTACATTATATGTGAAAAAGTTGATTTTCTGAATACTTACATGTCTTAACCAATTGTGCCCAGAGAGTTTCCAGTTGCGTTGGTGAAGTCCAAAAGGAGCAAGAATCCAAACACTGAAATGAAAAATCGACATGTTAGATGAAAACATTTATTATGGTATTGTTAATGTTTTTTGTTAATATGATCTTGAAACGTGCAGAAAACAGTATTTCAAGGTCAATATTATCAACTTACCCTAGAGATGACAACGAAAAGAAAAAAGATAATGATTATGCATTAATTGATCATTATCTTTGCCAAACCATAACGCATAGCAAAATAATCAAAAAGCTCAAGACGCGTGTTTATAATGTACTTATACAAGTATGCTGACAATTCTAAATTGTAACTACGGTAAGTTATAACAAAAGTAGACTTACAGTAGTTAAGAAGTTTTGCTCCTTGGAGTTGAGCTGTGGCAGCGTTTCCATAGTTGTACAGTCCGGTCTGTTGTCTGTAGGCATTATATTGATTGTGGTAGTAAGCTGGGTATCCTGACTGGTATCCGGATTGGTATCCGTATTGCTGGGCCATGACGAAAGCAACAAGGCATGGGAGCAGGACAAGGATGATGGATTTGTTCATTTTAAAGCTGTAAATATAAAAAGATGTGGTATGATTGCCAATGAGACAACTCTTCACAAGAGACCAAATGACACAGAAATTAAAAACTATAGGTCACCGTACGGCCTTCAACAATGAGCAAAGCCCATACCGCAGTCAGCTATTAAATGCCCCGAAATAACAAATGTAAAACAATTCAAACGAGAAACTAACGGCCTAATTTATGTACAAAATAATGAACGAAAAACAAATATGTTACACAGCAACAAACGACAACCACTGAATTACAGGCTCCTGACTTGGGACAGGCACATACAGAATGTGGCGCCAACCCTCCCCCTAACCTGGGACCTGTAAGTATGAATTAATCAATGCAAAAAGTGAAACAGTAATATGTTCAGCTTATTATCGTTTAAAATGGTATATATTGAAAACTTAACGAGTACTTGCAATATTAACTTTTTTGAAAACAGTTTCATATTAAACAAAGTGTATTAAAACCGTCATATTGTCCGGAACGTATTGATTATAAATATAGAAAACGACCTTACCTTGTGAATCAAAATACAGAATAATCTATTGGAGGAAGGTTGGGTTTAAATATATGTACGACAAATAATCACTGAATTTTGTAATTTGACATCACCGTCTGTAAACTATGCAAGGAACGGTACACCGTCTGTAAACTATGCAAGTAACGGTAATACCGACATAATCAAAGAACAAGTTCCGTTTAAATCGGTGTCACGTTACATGTTGTCCGTCAGCGAGAAATTTATAAAAAAGAAAAAAAAATGAAAATAGTTTAGAAACTTATGAAAACAGAACATTCGATGATTCAAAGTTTTTATAGAGAAATCATATGTTGACCAGAGAAAAAAAAAAATAAATAAGCTTCGTTAGAATGGATTTTGTTTGGTATAACTAATGCCCTTAAAAAAAGCCCTTGAAATTTAGTTGATTACTAGCATCTAATACAGAAATTTAATAAGATCACTTTCAATTAATCCTGGAAAATGTTCTATCATATCTACTTTTAAAATATAAATACTACTTCGATTCTAATAATTTGTTATTTGAATAAAAAATGTTAAGTATGAAATTTATGCGAAATTTGGCGCTTGCTTCTTTTATGTACAAACGGTTTCATTTATTGATCTTTCAACTTATTATATTAGAGCAATTTTAAAAAAGGGGACTATTAAGGTCCTCAGTATAAAAAAACCATTATGGCCAAAACATCAGGAGCATTTAATTCTTGTCATTTCAGAAATTAGTACATCTATATTTTTGTTTCTGTAATGACTTATTATAATAGTTAGTATTATCGTAACATAACTTTTTTACGAGCCTTTGTGACTTTATGGTTTCCTAGATATGAATACCAGTCTTTTTTTTTAGATTTGCGCCAACATTCTACAAGCTTTATGAAAACGGAGTTTTAATATATGTACAGAACGTCTGTGTTACAGATACTCGTAGATATCTACAATTTGTCATAGTCTTTTCTCGTCTTTTTCCCTATTTCATGCACATCATGGAGAACGACGTATACATAAATTCATATATCACGTGATTAGTACAGGTAGTGAACAAAGAAATGTGTAGTCAATTTGTCTTACAGCTTTGTTTTCCGTAGTCCACTGGTATCTATAGACTGTGGACCTAATGAGTTTTGGTAGAATTGAGATAGAAGAGTAAAAACTAAGGAAGTATTCGGATTTTGTAAAAACAGAGGTTTTGAAAAAGCAAAGCAGGAACTTCGTTAAAAGATGTGCATTCAAAAAAACAAAATATTATGTTTCTAATAGTACACTAAAGTTTTATGAGGGAAGTCTATTTCTAACAGGACATCATTACCTTTATACTAGTATCACACAAATTATTTACTGAGACTGGATGTTCAAATTTGTCCTATTTAAGTGTCATAATTTCTACCATATTCGTACTACACATTTTAATTTCAGTTTTGTACTTTTATTGTGTAGTACCATTTATGTACATATTACTTTTTCATTTTAGTATTCGAAACTTACATTATGCAATGTATAATTTCACAATTTTTTTTATCGCACTTACCTTCATTTGTGATGCCTCAAGAAAAAGCCTTTAAACTGAGGAACATACACTTTGTGAAAATCCAAATGAAAACATCTGTCTGTTTGATAATTAGTTGTATTATTTTTAAGAATAGTATTGAAATATGAACAATTGTATTTTCATATTGTATACATGCGAAATTCAAAGTGAAAGTTAATCATGAAGGTATTTTGTCCTCTGTATATTTCTAGTGTGCTTATAAACATTTACTATGTATCAAAATTTCACGGCAAAATCAATGTACGATCAATTCTGTATCGTATGTTTTAAAGTTATACCATACCATAAATGTAAAATGTTTGGACAGAGATGACGGAAAATACCATGGTTTACATTACAACGATCCTTATATAAAGTATTTAAGAAAACAGTGATTTTCAGGTAATGACAAAGCCACGAGAGCTCTGCAAAACCACGTACAAATGAATATATCAGAAATAATGAAAGCAATGAAGGTATTCACAAAATGTTGCTAGTCTTAAGGAAGCGATTTAAATTTGTTTATCATTTTTACTATTCAATTCATGATTATTATATCAATTATAAAAGTAATCAAAGTACTGAACATCGGATGACCGCAAGTTCTTGTGGATGGTCAAAAGCACTTGTCACAGAAAAAAATCACATCTCTATGCCTGAAACTGAAGGTAATGTACAGAGATATTTTTTTTCTATGACAATTTCGTGCGTGGATGATGAATAAATGACGGGAAATTCAACCTCACCGTAATAACTATTATTTTGTAGTGATACAAATAAGTATACACTGGTTTGTTGTTATATATTATATTAATATAACAGTTACATCATACATCTATATATAATTTTCATCCATTTGTATATCATTCTATTCTACTATTCTAATAATAGTGCAGTGCAAGTACATGCTGGACACTCTTCTGTAAAAATTCGATTTTTCTAAAAGATTGGATATGAGTAGGCATTCATATTTTCCAACAAAAAAACAATCTTCCATGCAGAGTTACCGGTCCTTGCCGGATTGTCGCAAAACGTTCTTGAGATATTCTTCCGCATGCTTCAACACAATTTTTCGGTACGTGTGCATAGATATTATCAATGATTTTTTACTTATATATATATATATATCTAACGACAAAACATTTTCATATTATTAATTTATGTTCTAAACAAAAATATTTTTATCAGTATTCATTGAAGAGATATATTTATAACAAACGATAAGGAATGTTATTTTGCACTCGTTAATATCCGCGTATTTATCATGTTTATAGATCAGTTAAAAACCCAAAACGAATGTTACGCAATGGAAATCTAGGCGATAGCAATACATCGGAATGCCCTCAGTCATGGTCATCGCGATGTAAAAATTGACATATTCAACCAGAGACATATAATATATGTCTCTGATTCAACTGATGCCCTCGAGGTGTACTTCGTCTATATATTGGTTACTTTGTGTGAAGATTTATATATATATATATCAACAGGAATTAAATAAAAAGGAAATTGACAGACATTAAATTTGAAAGGAAAATTCTTTGAAATAGCTTATATTTAATGTTGAAGAATATATACTAAATTCGAAATTTTCATTCAATGCAACCCAGTGCAAATCCGCAAATACTTAGTTTCAGATTTGGTTTATCATTCAGCTCTAGGCCGGTAAGATTTTAACAATTGTGTTTAATGAATTTTGGTTATTCATCAACATATGTAAGGTGCCTCTTGAAGAAAACACGCAAAAGAATACATTTTACTAACTTTTATTTATTTTTTCATTAATTATAGTTAAAAAAAGACACGCTTTTAGCCTGGGCACATAATTCAACCCATATATAATGACCTGTACTGATTTTATATGAAACCTTATATTGTTAGCAAAATTTAAATTTGTTCAGCAAATTACTGAAATTGCTAATTCTCCCATTATCAAAGGGTATGGTCAATGAAAAAGAACTAATCATTGTGAAAACTGAAAAAAGAAACAGCCATGTACTGAATAAATAAAATTAGCCATGCCTAGGATATAAACTTGCGTTATCCACATAAACTCTTCTTCTTATCTCACCTGACCCAAAGGGCTAGTGTGAGCGTTTGCCATCACAGGGCGTCTGCTGTCCGTCGTCCGATAAATTGTACAAAATATGTTCCACTTAAACTACTTGGCCAGATAGAAACAAAATTTGGATACAGTCATCCTAATGACATTTAGTGTAAACAATATGTCCGTTGATCCCACCTGCCAACCAACATGGCTGCCAAGGCTATCAGATATGTTCTTATTGCATGGTACCGATTTTTAGCAAAAATACCAGATGAGCAATACCGGGTCCTTGTAGTCTCTAGTAATATGTCGCAAATATGTCTCCCCATTTCCTTCATCATATTTTTGTAACTTGTGTAATAAACCAGTTGAAGATAGACATTCTCAAGTCTGGCAAGTGAAATATTCAAAATAAAGAAAGAGTGGTAAATCTTGACGAAATGTCAAATGACGCGTTTTTCCTAAATGACCCAATTCAACCGGGGCATTCACAAAACGAAAATTGGATATACGATGGCTGATCAAAGTGGGTTATTATGCATTCTATAAAACTTTTATTATTCCATTAGTTCGAGCTTAAAAGCTGTTTTTTAAGGGGGAGTTGAGTGCTGAAAATTGAGTGTACTGCAGAGGTCAATTCAGCCGATTGCACTGTATTAATGCGTACTATGTAATACTAGAGGAAAAACCTCAAATTGAAAGAGATATAGTTTAGATTGTGCAGGTTGTTCATGCATTATCAAATGCGTTTATTTACAATTGCTAGGCGTATAGGACAAATATTCATACTAGTACTTAGTTGAAAATAAGTATCAGAGGTGTTTTACCGTTATTTATCCTGAAAACTACACCAATCCAGATCCTTTTGTATTTCGTATAATTCTCGGGGTGGGGAAAGAGGCAAGTCGATCCATTTGTGGAAGGTGTGAGCAGCTGAGACATCCAGTAACCCACCATGTTCGTATATTTTGAGTATCAATGAAATACCCCATTATATATATTTTGAATATCAATAATATACCCCATCATATATATATTTTATAACAAATATATATATTTATAATTATCTTGATTTTGCTATTTCACGCAGGGATGATGGGGTAAATAGGTTCGAGAAATGTCCGATCCATTTTCGACATGGTTTTAATCGAATCTGTGAAAAAAATCGACGTCTGATTACTTACATATACTTACATTTAATCAGCAACCTTGCATATATTTCATCATAATTTCTCGAATTAAAAAAAAAATCGACGTCTGATTACTTACATATACTTACATTTAATCAGAACATTGCATATATTTCACCATAATTTCTCGAATTAAACAATTATAGCCTTTGTATGATGTTGATACGAGGTTATATCGACCTAAGAGAAGCATATTGACTGAGGACAAAGTCCGAGGTCGATATAACATCGCATTGACCTCAACCAAAGGCTACAATTGTTATATTATTAATCAACAACTATTGCAAGAATAATGTAAAATTGGGGATTTCTACAATATATTTTTAGTAACATGCTGTATGTCCTGTGCAAAAAGCTGTTTTTGACTTACGAAAAGCTAAACACTAATGTTTTGGCGTGCAAACTAAGTAAATACAAATGTACATGTGATCAAGTTTTAGCGAATCACAATTCCTTAAAAATATTCGATTAATAATATTATCATATATCGTAAACATAAAAAGTAGTGATAAACTATTCCAGCGACTCGTTCCTATTACACACTACATAGTTATTTAATCGATAATAACTATCAATTAACAAATTCGTATGATAATGTTGTCTCCCTTTTTCATCTATCCAGTTTTACAAATAATAAAGTATAGCAGGAAAATTGAATTTCCATGGTATAATTTTTCAAAAGGTCTTTTGAAAATCGCGTTCGGTGGTTGTTTGAATCATAAGAATATTTTATATACTGGTAAATTCATTCAAACTAAAATCAAGAAAAAATAAAGAATGACTCAGCTGTATTCTAAATATCTTGCACGAGTGACCTTTTGGTATAATAAATATACACACGATATCATTCATTCACATTTTTATTATGGTATTTATAAACATATAGTGTACAAATTGTTAACATAAACTACTGCACATCGGTTTTGACACATTAAATATTCAGTAAAACAATTGTTCTTTACACTTGCGAAAACACAAAATTGGAACCGGGAAACGTCGTATTTTCCGGATATGCAGGTCGAGCTGGCAACTGAAGTTATTCTCAAGTAACATCTAAGCTTAAGCTGAATATGTAGTGATCATGATCTGAAATAAAAATGTTAATGAAAGTCAAACAATGTTTGAGTCCTCCGTATCTGAAAAAGTGGAAAAAATAGTGTACATGTTTTATGTTTTAACAAAACTATTACCCTTCCGTCCCCTAAAATCGGCCATTACCCAAAATCGGTCACATATTAGAATCACGCTTTCACTGGATATTTGTTGTCAATAATGCCATTTCGTTGTATTTCATTTTGCTTGTTGATAAATATAAATGAGATTTTAGCAGTAAAGTATGAATACTTAAATTTTGTGTGAAAATTGTGTTCTAACTTACTTTTGACAGTCAATTGTTTCACGATCAAAAACACTGATGAACAACAATATATACAATTTTCAACTAGAACGTGATTGAAAAAAAATCATTCTCTTGGACTGCAAGTACATCACATGATTATTTTCCTGTTGACCGGTTTAAGGTTAAGAGTTTCGGGTGCCATTGCAAAACACAAATGAACGAAAAAGCTCAACTTGTCGATATTTCACTGGGAAAATTAATGAAGTTTCCGTAGTTTATTGCTTTTTTGGTGTCTTAAAGAAACTATCTGCTAGTCACAGCTTGATGAATGTGCTCCTTATAAGCACAAGAATTCCGAAAATGCTTTATATGATCTATTTATGGATGAAAGTAAAACCCCAAAGAAGATGTATATAATGAAAAAGAAGAAACCGAAGATCTCATCTTGTTCTTATTCTTTGATTTTACCATTATTGAGAAGGAGATGTTGTTAAGGTGCAATGAGACACTGGTTTGGGACAGGCATTCAAACAGGCTTATAACATGTTACTTTAACTATTCTTCCCTTAGTTTATTTATTTTGTATTTACATTGTATCATAGATCAAATTTATTTGTTCAGTGTATGTTCACTGTGTTAATATGTCTTTTGATTGAGTTAAGCCATTTCAATTGATATCTTATAGTGTGTCTTTCTATGTTGTGATGTTACACTATTGTTTCAGATAAGGGTGAAGGTTTGGTACCATTAAAACGTTTAAACCCGCTGCAATTGTTTGCACCTGTTCTAAGTCAGAAATCTGATGTACAGTAGTTGTCGTTTGTTGATGTGGTTCATAAGTGTTTCTCGTTTCTCTTTTTATATATAGATTAGACCGTTGGTTTTCCCGTTTGAATGGTTTTACACTACTAATTTTTGGGGCCCTTTATAGCTTGCTGTTCGGTGTGAGCCAAGGCTCCGTGTTGAAGACCGTACTTTGACCTATAATGGTTTACTTTTATACATTTTGACTTGGATGGAGAGTTGTCTCATTGGCACTCATACCACATCTTCTTATATCTATTGGTCATAGTATTATAGACTTCGAGCTTGGAACGGGCATTAAACCACTGCAATACAGACAGCTAGTTTCGGATAGGTAGTCACTGAAACACATGTTCTGGTAGACTGACTATTACGGTCTATTAAATATGATGACCATATGAAGGTTAAATATTTGTTTAACTATGTTTACTTACATATTTTAACCTAAGTTGTTCAAAGAATTTCCTGTAGCGTTAGTGAGGTCCAGGAGAAGCAAGAATCCGAACACTAAAACAGATTATATAGTATTTGATGTTGTTGTTTTAACAAACTATAATAATATATATTAATATTGAATATATAAACCTATACTATCAATCTTTAGTTATCAAACGATTTTTATGTATACAAATACCATTGAGAATACAATGGGGGGAACACTAAAAAAATATATAATATTTGATGTTGTTGTTTTAACAAACTATAATAATATATATAAATATTGAATATATAAGTCTATACTATCAATCTTTAGTTATCAAACGATTTTTATGTATACAAATACAATTGAGAATACAATGTTCTTAAAATTATTTTTGTTATGAAACAAATTGACAGAAAGAGAGCATGTTTATGATAACTGAAGGAGACGTACTTCTATGGTAATTAACGTATTTTTGTTTAAAAAAATAGACTTACAATAGTTAAGAAGTTTTGCTCCTTGGAGTTGAGCTGTGGCAGCGTTTCCATAGTTGTACAGTCCGGTCTGTTGTCTGTAGGCATTATATTGATTGTGGTAGTAAGCTGGGTATCCTGATTGGTATCCGGATTGGTATCCGTATTGCTGGGCCATGACGAAAGCAACAAGGCATGGGAGCAGGACAAGGAGGATAGACTTGTTCATTTTGATGGTATTTGGTGACTATAATTTAAGAAATACTGTTTACGCTGAAATTAGGACCAATTTATGATTATGACAACATAATATGTGATGAAAAAGTTGTTCTTGTGAAAATAAAGTTTTGCTTGAACCCTTAAATAGTAACACAATGTAACAAAATCGAAAGAAAAACAAATAATTAAAAAAAACAAATAAATAAATTAGCAACGACCAAAAAACTGTGTTCGACATACAAACTCCTGTTTGCACCTAATATCTATTTTTTTTTATATCATTGCAAGGAATTTTTATTTGTAACGATTATGGTAGCCTACAATAAACCTTGAAAATAAGATTCCATAAAAAAATATATAAAAAAATGGGATATTTATAATAAAAAAATGTCCTAAATGATGATTCCGATAGACGTTTTATATTTTCAGTAAGAAGTTTTGCAACCTTAAAAAGAAGGCATTCAAAAATTTGGAGAATATTGTTTTTACTTAGTACCGTTGTGAATTTTATATGACGCACACATGAAATATTTTGTTTGATACGGATGGGACATAATTTAGTTTTAAGACTCACCTGAGATATCTGATTGAGAGTGATCTGTTGGAAATAATTCTGAGTGTCTTTATATACTATCAAGCATTAAAATTTTGCAAGTTTACATCATGTACACAGGAAACACATACATGTATTATATAGATCGACAGTATATGTAAGTCCATGTAATATATACATGTAGTTGTGCTCTAGACAAGGAACTGATACTGAAAACACGTAAATTTTATATTTATTATTAACTGTTATAGATTTAGCAAGTATTAGATTAAATTCAGTCGATGTGTAAAAGTGAATTATCTTAATAGAAGAGGGTCAAACAGGACATTTTTCAAGCAAACACAACATTTATTCAAACGTTTGATTTTCTAGCATTTAGGAAAATATAACAAATATTTACTTGATTACAGCCACTCGAAGCCATCCATTACAATCACATAAACAATTTGAAGGTTCTCGCAAAAAAAAAAAATTGCGAACTGTCTTTGATGAGCATATACCCTATATATAAATTAAAATACGATGCATTTGGAAAGTCTTGAATAATTCTCGTCTTGACAGGCGATTCCTTCCATGTGCTCTCAGCATGTGACAGGATATTTTTGTGGATATTTAAAACGAGTGAAGAGAATATTTTCTGCAAGCATATTGCATAAAATTCATAAATCGGGTTTCGAATAGCCAGTTTTAAGTCCTCTTGTATCTATAGACATTAGACCTAATGATTTTTGGTAGAATTGAGAAAGAAAAAGAAAAAACTAAAGAAGTCTTTGGATTTTGTAAAAACAAAGTTTTGACAAAGCAAAGCAGTAACTTAATGAAAAGATTGTCAGTTCCAACAAGTGCATTATTTTATAATAAATATTGTGTTTCAAATATTACACCAAAGTTTTATAAAGGAAGCCTATTTCTAACAGGACATAATTACTTTTTTGTCACACAAATTTACTGAGACCGGATGTTAAAAATTGTCCTATTTTATTACAACAGTTTTTACCATATTTCTACAACACATTTTAATTTCAGTTTTGTAATTTATCGTGTAGTTCCATTTATGTACCTTTTTTTTGCAATACGCACCAGTTTAGCACTTTAAAATAATTGCATATTCAATGGAATTTCTATTCAGATTATGGTATTATATAAAACTACAAGAATAGTACTACGTTATGAAGCACAAGACAGCCACCTCAAATTTGTAGTACAAATCAAGTATTGTAAAATAATGGTACTACACAGTTCAGTTGTATTTTTTAGGTACATTTTCCGCTCTTTTATATTTTTAGTATTAAAAAATTACAATAGGCAATGTAAGATTTCACTGAATTTTTTTCGTATTTTACCCTCATATTTTGATGACTAACGGAAAAGCCTTTAAACTAAAGAACACTATGCAAAAAACCGTATGATAATATCTCTTTCAGTTTTTTTTTTTATTCTTTGATTTTTTTTTTCGGAAAAGTATTGGAATATGAATTTTTGTATTTTCATATTGTATATATATGCGAAACCTAAAGTGAAAAATATATCAAAAAGTAAACCATGAAGGTAACTATATTTGTCTCTGTATATTTTTAGTGTGCTGATTGAGTTTTTCTCCCCGATGGTCTCAGCAGCCCAGTAGTCAGCAATCTGTGTTGACGTAAATTATCATTGATCAGGTCATAATGATAAATTAACTGTTAACAAAACTATGAATTTTTCGAAATAATTAGAATTCTCTACCCCAGGAATAGACTACCTTAGCTGTATTTGACAAAACTTTTAGAAATTTTGGGTCCTCAATGCTCTTCAACTTCGTACTTTATTTGGCCCTTTTAACTTTTTTGATTCAAGTGTCACTAATGAGTCTTTTGTAGACAAAACGCGCGTCTGGCGTACAAAATTTCAATCCTAGTATCTATGTTGAGTTTATTTATAAACACTGGGTCGATGCCACTGCTGGTAGAGTTTTTCTCCCCGTGTTTATCAATGGCTCAGTAGTCAGCATTTCTGTGCTGACATGAATTATCACTGATATGGTCATATTTATAAATCAACTGTTTACAAAACTATGAATTTTTCGAAATTAAAAGGATTTTCTGCCCCAGGAATAGATTACCTTAGCTGCATTGGGCAAAACGTTTAGAAATTTTGGGTCCTCACTGCTCTTCAACTTCGTACTTTATTTAGCCTTTTTAAATTTTTTGATTCGAACGTTAACTGATGAGTCTTTTGTAGACAAAACGCGCGTCTGGCGTACAGAATTTCAATCCTGGTATCTTTGATAAGTTTTTTTTATAAACATTGACTTTGTATCAATATTTCAAGGCAAAATCAATATATTGTGTGCCATTAAAGTTATACCTTACAATACATGTAAAATGTTTGAACAGAGATGACGGAAAATAACATGGTTTCTACATTAGGAAATGTCTGTACCAAGTCAAAAATATGACAGTTGTTTTTTATTCGTTTGATATGTTTGAGCTTTTGATTTTGCCATTTTATAAAGGACCTTTCGTTTTGAATTTCTTTGGAGTTCAGTATTTTTGTTATTTTACTTTTTACTTTAAAACTAACGATTTGCAGCTAATGACAAATCCATGAAAGCAAAACCACATACAAATTGAATATATCAAAAAAATATGAAAGCAATGAAGGTATTCACAATTTAACTTATCCTTAGTATATCAAATATAAAAGTAAAATTGACATATTCAACAGATGCCCTCGAGCTGTACTTCGTCTATATATTGGTTACTTTGTGAAGATTTACATGTATTTATCAACAGGAATTAAATAAAAGCAGGAAATTTACGAAATTGAATTTAAAAACAAATATTTTTTCAAGCAACTTGAATTTAATGTTCAAGAATAAAATACCATATTAAAAATTTTCATAAAATGTAACCCTGTTCAAATCCGCAAATACTTAGATTTAGATTGGTTTTAATGTTCAACTCGAGGCTGGTAAGAGTTTGAAAATTACATTTATTCAGAAAATTTATCATAAAACAATACATAAAACACTTGAGAAAAATATCTAGGATTCAGAAACAAGCAAAGTTGCTTTTACTGATATTTTCAGATTATTGGTTATTTATCAGTATATTTATGGCGCCTATTGAGAAGAAAACACGCAATAGAATAGATTTTACTAACTTTTGCCTAGGATACAAACTTGCGTGATTCACACGCAATATTCCACTTAGCTCACCTGGCCATCTGAGCTTTTTTTTGGCATCACTGGTCGTCCGCAGTCCGTTAACTCTCACAAAAAAAAACATTTCCCTCTTAAATCACTTCAGCCAGATAGAAACCAAACTTGGCTACAATCATCCTTAGAATATTAAGTTTCAAAAATATGTCCGGTCATCCCACCTGCAAACCAACATGGCTGCCAAGGCTAAATTAGAAATTATGCGTAAAACGCGAGTATTATTGTCTATTATCTTGTAAACTGTTACATATAAGAAAATCTGTTAGGACTTACTGTCTATTTTATTATATCAAAACTGTAAGACAGCTTTTTTACATCTTTTACAGCTTTGAATGTACCTTCGGTATCTTTCGCCTCTCTCTTTAGGAGTTGTTGTCTTTAAAGGACAATTTTTCACCAATTTTGTGATTACCATTAAAACTAGAATTACAGATAAAGTGAAACTGTAAATAGCAAAATGATAAGCGGGACGAGATCTACAAATCAGTCAACTTGATCGAAATTGTCAGTCGACTTGTAAGAGTAATTGCCCTTAAATGACGAATTTTTATTCATTTTAGTGTTTTATGCGGAAACTAGAGTAGACAAGAAGAAACTATAAACAGCAAAAATAAAAACCAGGACAAATCTACAAATAAGTCAACGTTGCATTTAGGAGTTATTGCCCTTGGAAAACGAATTTTACCCATTTTTGTGTTTTAAGGAACTATAGTAGATAGTAGATAGTAGATAGAGATAGACTGTAAAAAGCATCTGCTGGACAAGTCAAATGGCTGAAATCGATATTCGACTCCTTTTGGGACTTATCGCCCTTTAAAAACGACTTCCAATCTATGTTTTTTTGTTTTTTCAAAGAAATTATTTTCTATAGTAGACCGTGCGAGACCCTAATGGGTAGTCAAGGTCACTAGCAGGACAATATCTGCTCAGAAGTCAACATGACCGAAATCGTCAGGAGCTATAACTCTTGAACGATGAATTTTACCCACCTTTTTTTTATTTTTGCAAAAAACAATCAGAAATATTCTTATTGCATGGTACCGATTCTTAGCCAAAATTCCAGGTGAGCGATACCAAATCCTTGGAACCTCTAGTTTTTATAAGTAGCGAATATGTCTCCCCATTTCATTCGTTATAATTATTCTGGTTAGCTTACCTGCGTAATTAACCAGTTGAGGACAAGTCAAAATGGGAGTATCCTCAACCTCTGGCAAGTTTAAAGAATTTTCAAAACGAGAAATGGTAAATATTGACAAAAGATCGCAAATACGAGATCTTCTAAATTGAAATCATGAATTTAATGGAATAATTTGACAAAAGCAATCTTTCACAAATATAATGTACCATGACGAGTTTTTCCCCAAATGACCAATGTCACCCGCAGCATTCATAAAACGAAAATTTGATATACGATAGCTGACCAAAGTTGTTTCTTATGCATTTCACTAGTTCGAGCTTAAAAGCTGTGATTTTTAGGTGATGTTGAGAGTTGAAAACTGAGTGTACTGCCGAGGTCAATTCAGTCGTTTGAACTGTATTAATGAGTAACATATAATACTAGAGGAAAAACTCGTTCCTCAAACTGAAAGAGATATAGTTTAGAGTGTACAGGTTCGTGCATTATCAAATGTGTTTATTTACAAATGCTTGACGTTAAAAATATTCATACTAGGTACTTAGTTGAAAAGACATATCAGTTGTGTTTTATCGTTGTTTTTTCTGCAAACTTACCCATCTAGTACCTTTTGCATTTCGTATAATCCACGGGAATGGAGGGGCATGACGATCCTTTTGTGGTAGGGGTGGGCAGCTGAGACATTCATTAACCCATGTTTAAATTTCAAATATGAAAAGTATACCTTATCATATATA